TCACTTTTCATCTTTGAATCTCAATAACTGGGAATTAATCCTATTCAAGGTTTCTCCTCAGGAACTTCCCTGGAGGTCCCGGGGCTAAGACTTCACACTCCCAGGGCAGGAGGCCCAGGTTCAATCTCTGGTCTTCTGATCCTCTGGTCCTCTGGTCGAGGAACTAGTTCCTGCATACCACAACTAAGACTCAGCACAGGCAAATAAATAAATATTTTTTAAAAAATTTTAAAATAAGGTTTCTTCTCAGAATTGGGAAGGGAGAAAAACAGGGAGATAGATATGAACATATTTAAAACAATATAAGTGCTTGAAAGGAAGGTGTCACGAGCCTCATTGCTTCCCTTGTTGATAAGTCAGTGAACAGGTAGGTAATGAAGCCAGGTGGTATCCCCTTCCAGTGAAAATAAGAGGCACTCCTCACATTACCAAACTGTCTGGCAGTTAGAAGCTCCCTCCTGGCAGACTCACCTCATTCAGAGAAACTCACTCTTGACATTCTCAGTGTTGGACGAGTTCTTAGGAGAGTTGACAGACACACTGGGTGGTTTGCGGCAGAGTGTACAGAACTTGCTGACTGGAATATGTTCTTAGTCTTCCTTGCACAAAACAGGAGATCTAGGCTCCTGGTTCTGCCATTTCAGTGGGTTAGTCATTTTAACTTCTCTGGGCCTCAACTTCCAGTTTACAAATAGATCTCAAAAGTTCTTTCCAAAAAAAAAAGTTCTTTCCAACACTTTCTGAAATGTAATTTCTAGTCTGAAAGCACAGGTCCCACAATGAAAACTGGTTGTAGCAGGGTTAGAGGGAGGCTCAAGAGAAAGGGGATATATGTAAACATATATTAATAGCTGATTCACTTTGTTGTGCAGCAAAAACTAACAAAATATTATAAAGCAGTTATACTCCAATAATAAAAAGAAAACTGGTTGCTATTTTGCCCACAAACCTCTTCCAATTTTTCTTGTTTATGGGCAACTCCAACATGGCACCTTGAAATGGATTTCTCTCAAAGACACAAGGAACATCAGAGCAATTTGCAGCTGTGAGCAGAAATCTCCGTCTAGATGCACAGGGACATATGGCAGAGCCAACCTGGCCTTTAGTTTTCTTTCCTGAAGGAGAGCAGGAAACTCCTTTAGCAGTCAGTGGAAATTCTTCCGTTAATAAGGGAACTCACAAAGACCCTAGGTGTTTGGAATAGATATGTGAGCTCTAGAGAGAGCTGCAGACTGCAAATTCTGTTTTGTCAATAAATTTTTGTTGGAAGGACTTCCCTAGCAATCCAGTGGTTAAGAGTCCACGTTTCCAGTGCAGGCGGCATTGGTTCAGTCCCTGGTCAGGGAACTAAGATCCTGCATGCCACAAAGTGTGACCAGTAAATAAATAAATAAATGTCTGTTACAGATTCAAGTAGCAAAAAGATTTACCAGGTTGGTCTTTCATCTGTACTATTAAACCCTCTCAATTACTCCCTCTTTGAGGTAGATAATTTACTATTTCCATTTTAGACATGAAGAACCTAGAACTCAGAGAGGATAATGAACTTGCCAAAGGCCAAGTTTAGATGGTCAGCATTGGAGTCTGGATGTGACCTCAAGTACGTCTGTCCGCTTCTCACTCTGCTAGCATAGTTGAAGCTCTGTACCACAGGAGCTCCTGTGGTTTCCTTCCTTAGCTGTTTCTTTCAGTTCCTAGGATACAACTCAGTCCTCCTGATTGTGGGTTTCTCAGGAACATAGACACAGTTGAACCATCTCTCCATTTTCTGGAAAGCCACCAGGAACCTGTGGTTATGAAAGAGACCAATAATAATGCAGATGAACACTTCTAACTCAGGACTGGTGTCTAGGTTCATCTACAGCTAGGAATAGCATTACATTTTACAGACACTTTCGAATTGTGGTGCTGGAGAAGACTCTTCAGAGTCCTTTAAACTGCAAGGAGATCAAACCAGTCATTTCTAAAGGAATCAACCCTGAATATTCATTGGAAGGACTGATGTTGAAGCTCTGATATTAAGGTATCTGATGCAAAGCGCCAACTCATTGGAAAAGACCCTGATACTGGGAAAGATTAAGGACAGGAGGAGAAGGGGGCAACAGAGGATGAGATGGTTGGATGGCATCATGGACTCAATGGACATGAGTTTGAACAAACTCTGGGAGATGGTGCAGGACAGGGAGGCCTGCCATTCTGCAGTTACAGGGAAGCGAGTCAGACATGACTCAGCTGCTAAACACTGAACAACCAGCTTTGCGTCAGTCACCGGGCACTAAGCACTTTATAAACATTAGCTCGTGCATTCCTCACCTTAGGCTTGTGGCAGAAACCTTATTAGCTCCATTTTACAGACGGTGACACTGGGGCCCAAAGAAGAGTAACTTCCACGAGAATAGATACTCTTCTTGATGAACTTTTTGTTCCTTGCGCTTTTTACCAATGGACCTAGTTATTGGTTTTTCTGTTTCATCTCCCTCCCTCCTTCCTTCTGCCTCTCTGTAGTTAAGAATGTAAACTCCAGAAGGCCAGGGGGCAAGTTTGCCTGGTTCAGCATTGTTGTTGTTCAGATGCTCATTTGCAACCCCATGGACTGCAGCAAGTCAGGCTTCTCTGTCCATGACAAACTCCCAGAGCTTACTCAAACTCATGTCCATTGAGTCAATGATGCCATCCAACCATCTCATCCTCTGTCCTCCCCTTCTCTTCCTGCCCTCAATCTTTCCCAGAATCAGGGTCTTTTCCAATGAGTAGGGTCTTTTCCAATGAGTTGGTGTCCCAAGTATTCCAGCTTCAACTTCTGCACCCGTCCTTCCAATGAATATTCAGGGTTGATTTCCTTTAGGATTGACGGTTTGATCTTCTTGCAGGTTCAGCATAGTGCCTGCCATAGTTACAAATGCTAATTGAGGAATGAGTCAGCTTTTTAAAGCGCCAAAGCTTGAACTGGCCTAAAGATCGCGCAGAGAAATTTACACCCAGGAAAGCACCCTCAACTCTCCCTTTCAGAAACCATTTCTAACAACCGCTGGAAATGAAAATATCATAGTTCCTTTAAGATAACCCACGGGGATTTGGGTCACCTAAATAGATGCCCAACCCCTGGCGTTTCGCTTGGAAGTCGTTTCCAAGTAGCCATGCCTTATTTACTCCACCGGGGAGGTAGGGCCCGCAGGAAGACCTGGCCAGTTCAGCTCTGGAGAAATACACAAGCAGGTCTTCACCTCAGACACCAGGAACCCTCCCGCTCCCTTCCAAGGGGGCGCCCTGGGGTCCCAGCCCTCTCGGCTGGGAGAGGTTGGCCGCCGCGCTCTTCCGGGGCCTGGAGGAGGGGCGAAGGTCTAAGACCCGCCTCCACTGGGGCGGAGCCACGGCCCGGGACTGGCCTAAACTGCCGCAGGTAATACGGTCCGGAGCTGGATCGGGGTGCTCCGGGACCCCCGTTTGAAGAGATCCCGGGCGGGAGCGGCTGCATCTTTTAGGGGAATGGAGATAGGCCGAGTAGAAAACGCCGGGTAGACCTCCTCAGGCTCCGGCCCAGCCACGCTGACGGTTCTCTCCTGACCCTGTTTCCTATCGCTTATCGCTGCCTCGCGGGGCTGGGACTGGGGGATGGGACTGGCAGGGGCTGCTACGGGAGGTCCCAGGCCATGTGAAGTTTACCCCACTTAGCTTTGGGCTTTGGGAACAGCAGTTAGTGGCTTAGGCTGAAGGTTGGATTTATCCATTCAACTCCCGGAAATGTTATCTATTTTCTTTCATCATTCACTCATCCCTCACTTCTGCTCTATACGGGGCCCACTAGTTGGTTCTCTGAATGCATCGGAGAGGCCCAGCTCCCTTGGAATTTAGTCTAGAATCTAGTCTAGAAACTTTTAAATAGATAATTACATTCAGGATGACCCTGCAATTACGATAGCTTAACGGATACCTTCGGATGTAGAATAGCTTGAGAATGTGAGGAAAGCAACAAATAAGGGACGGTTTCACTAAGGATGGGACAGTTGAACTGGAATTTGGAGGTTAACTAGAAGTTTGCCAGAAGGGAAGGGACATTTCAGGTAAGGGAAGCAGCATAAGATGCAAATTATGAAAGGGCTTGACATTTCAGAGGAACAAATGTAGTAAGAACAGCTCAATAAAGCAAGAAATTGTAGGCTTGAGTTCCTGAAAAGGAGGTTGAGACCAGAAGGCTTTGAATGTCATGCTGGGGCCAAGAGTTATCCTAGAGTTTGGTATTTCTCAGCTTTTTAAAGTGTTTTATCTTTTGATAAATATAAATACCTTATGACCTCCAAAATTATTTTGATATATGCCCTTTCCCCATGAAAACCACAGACACAGAAAACTTCAAGCAAAAAAAAATCTGTAATTGGATTAAGAAAGTTGCATTATTGTTGCTTACATAAAACTCAGCATAGTGTAAGTTTTTATCAAATGTAAGTTTTTATCAAATGTAAGTTTTTATCAAAAGGTGGTAGTGCTTATTCAGATCAGGCCCTAGAAATTAGTATATCAACAGGAAATTTTTTTAAATGGGAAGTAATCTCTGTGTGTTAGGTAGAAGATAATCGTCAATGTCTAAAGAGTGCCTTTCTGTCTTATGCATAGGACATCATGAAGCAGCTGCCAGTCTTGGAGCCTGGAGACAAGCCCAGGAAAGAAACATGGTCTGTAAGGAAGGATTCAGACAGAGAAACACATGAGTTTTTGTTTCGTTTATAAGTAGTTTACTAATATATTTGATCATCTATAAAAAAGGGTAGAGATGAAACTGTCTGTAGTTTCTGGTAATTAGACTCAAACTGTCTGAGAAGGTCTTCAGAGGAAAGGTAGTGGGGCAATAATTATCACAGAGCAGATGTTGATTTTATTAGAATCCATTTACCAAGACGAGTAAGACATTGGCCATCTGGCATCCTCAGCTCCAGCTCTGTGTCTTCCCCCAAGCGCTGACGCATTTTTTAAGGTTTTCAGGTAATTAGATTAAACTGGCTTCACTGTTTCTTGAATGCTTGTTCAACCCACCCGTCATTCAACAACTAACACTGGCCTGACAGGGGCAGTTACAGTGTAGGTGCTGAAGGCACAAAGGTGAATAGTCTCCGAGTAGGGGGTGCTGCAGACTAACCTGGTGATGGTGATGAAAAGTGATCAGTGCTGAAACAAGGCTCACAGAGGGCTGTAGAGAGGAGGCAGTGCTTCTGCAGGACCTTGGAGGAGACCCTTTGATCTGCCTTCTCTGTGTCCACTTTTGCTCTCTACCCATCATAAATCTGAGCATGGCATTCTCTGGATTAAAAGCCTTTTGTTCCTCTGTGTTGGTCTTAGGATAGAAACCAGAGTCCTTAAAATGGCCCACTGGGCCCTGCATAATCTGTCCCTACCTACCTCTCCAGCTTTACGAGCCCCTACGTACACTTTGTTCTCTTTCTTTTCCTTTAACGTGGTCGGCACTGTCCCACTGAGGGGCTCTACAAGCTGGTCCCTCTCCCTGGATCACCCTTTCCCCCCATCTTTTGTCCCTTTCTTTGCCCAGCTATTAATAACTTCTACTCATACTTCAGATCTCAGTTAAAATGGGGCTTCTTCAGGAAGTCTTCTGGGACCACCCCTGTCCCCACCCAACTCTCCTTACAGGGTAGGGACCCCCCGTGATATGTCCTCATACTATATATCCTGTTCTCCTTTGTAGCGCAATTGAAATGAAGTGGTCATTTGTGAAATTATTTGTTTAGTGTTTTTCCTCCCAACTAATCTGGCAGGGCTATGAAGGCAGGGACTTCTTTTGTTTTATTCACCATGTAGGGGCAGGGCTGTGTGCCCTTGAATAAGTTATTTAGCCTTTCTAAGCCTCAGGTCCACAGCTGTAAAACTCAGATGATAACATTACTGTCCTCAAAGGGGTTTTGTGCAAGTTTAGTGAAATCAGGGTTGTAGCAAAGTTAGCAGTCCGTAGGCATGGTACATGGTTAGCAGTCATTTGGGCAGTAATGTGATACGTGAATCTGGACATCAAAAGAGAGATCTGGAAAAGAAACAGATTTTGAAATCACTGATGAACATGTAGATGGGTGGTAATTGAAGCCATCAGTACATATAAAATTGATCAGGTAAGTAAACCTAGACTAAGACAAAGGGAATCCATGGGGGTTGGAAGAAAGCTGGAGGGAAAGGAGTCAGAAAAGGAAACAGAAAGTGTAGCCAGACAGGTGGATAGAGAACCAAAAGGAATGAGTGTGGGGAAGCCAGGCCAGGAGAAAGGTACGAGAAGGACGGAAGAGCCAAGAGTCCCAAATGCCAGAAAAACAGCTACAGAATTTTATTTTTCAACCAGAAGGGTTGAAGTGTGCTTTCTGTCAGCATTCAGAATAACTTTACAGAGCAGAATGAATGGATCCTGTATTTGATTTTTCAAAGAGCTAGCTTTGGCTTCCATCATGTCAAGCTTTATGAGTAATCTGGAAAAACTCTTAAAATTCAATGAAGGATGGAGTATATTACTTGGCAGGGGGAAGCATCACTGGCTAGTGGTGGGAGCTTTGCTGCTGTTGGTTCTCACATGATTATACATAAAGTTCTGGCCATCATTTACTGAGTCCTTCCCTGCCGTGTAACAAGAGTGCATCTCATTCTTCACAAGTATAATTATTGCCGTCTTCATTTTACAAATGAGGAAACTAAGGTTCAGAAAGATAAAGTGACTTCTAAAAAGGCATACCTGGAGAAAGCATGTGAACTGGGACTTGAACTAGGTCTGTCTGAATTGGCAAGCCGTGCTCATAAGTACCATGTTGTGCCAGGACATACCATTGAACATTTCTGTGTATCAGTTTCCAGCTCTACCACATGGGGACAATTACTAGTCCAGGGCACTCCCAGTAGGTTAATGTGAGATGAAAGTAGGGACAGAATTAAAAAGTCAAAGGTTATGTGCAAAGGGAAGGTACTGTTTTCAATTAGAAAAATGCTGCTTTGCTGGGTATTATTTTCAAAGTCTGTGTGTGTATAAGACCCTTCTCTCTGGTGCCTGTTCCATGAGGAGTGCAAAGAATACACTGCTGCATTTATTCTCTGCTCAGGCCTCCTGAATATATATATCTTCCTTTGGCAGGTACACCCTGACCCCAGTTGGAGACAGCCCCTGTGCACGGGTTGGTCACAGCTGCTCATATTTACCCCCTGTTGGTGACGCTGAGAGAGGGATGGTCTTCATTGTTGGGGGAGCAGATCCAAACAGAAGCTTCTCAGATGTGCACACCATAGATCTGGGTAAGACCAGCAGTGGAGGGGACTTCCCTGGCAGTCCAGTGGTTGGGACTCCAAGCTTCCACTGCAGGGAAGATGCATTTCATCCCTGGTTGGGGAACAAGGATACCATGCCATGTGGCATGGTTAAAAAAAACAACCAGAAGCTGCAGAGCATGTGCCCTTTGGCCAAAGAGCAGGGCTTTGTGCTGCTGGCTGTGATCATTCCTAAGAATATTAGTTCAAACATGTACATTACCATATATAAAATAGGTAACCAGTGGGAGATTGCTATGTGTGAGCTCCCAGAGCTTACTCAAACTCATGTCTATCAAGTTGGTGATGCCATCCAACCATCTCATCCTCTGTCGTCCCCTTCTACTCCTGCCTTCAATGTTTCCCAGCATCAGGGTCTTTTCAAATAAGTCAGTTCTTTGCATCAGGTGGCCAAAGTATTGTAGCTTCGGCTTCAGCATCAGTCCTTCCAATGAATATTCAGGACTGATTCAGGACCATAGGATGGACTGGTTTGATCTCCTTGAAGTTCAAGGGACTTTCAAGAATCTTCTCCAACACCACAGTTCAAAAACATCAATTCTTCTGCGCTCAGCTTTCTTTATTGTCCAAATCTGACATCCATACATGACTACTAGAAAAATCATAGCTTTGACTAGATGGACTTTTGTTGGCAAAGTAATGTCTCTGGGTTTTAGTATGCTGCCTAGGTTGGTCATAGCTTTTCTTCCAAGGTGCAAGCATCTTTTAATTTCATGGCTGCAGATACCATCTGCAGTGATTTTGAAGCCCCCCAAAATAAAGGCTCTCACTGTTTCCATTGTTTCCCCATCTATAATGTTTCCAGTTTGTACTCTGGCTTCTCTGCCTTTTTAAAATCCAGCTTGAACATCTGGAAGTTCATGGTTCACATACTTTTGAAACCTGGCTTGGAGAATTTTGAGCATTACTTTATTAGCGTGTGAGATGAGTGCAATTGTGCGGTAGTTTGAACATTCTTTGACATTGCCTTTTTTTGGAATTGGAATGAAAACTGACCTTTTCCAGTCTTGTGGCCACTGCTGAGTTTCCAAATTTGCTAGCATGTTGAGTGCATCACTTTAACAGCATCATTTTTTAGGACTTGCAGTAGCTCAACTGGAATTCTATCACTTCCACTAGCTTTGTTCATAGGGATGCTTGCTAAGACCCACTTGACTTCGCATTCCAGGGTGTCTGGCTCTAGATGAGTGATCACACCATCGTGGTTATCTGGGCCATGAAGATCTTTTTTGTATAGTTCTTTTGTATATTCTTGCTACCTCTTCTTAATATCTTCTGCTTCTGTTATGTCCATACCATTTCTGTCCTTTATTGTGCCCATCTTTGCATGAAATGTTCCCTTGGTGTCTCTAATTTTCTTGAAAAGATCTCTAGTCTTTCTCATTCTGTTGTTTTCCTCTATTTCTTTGCATTGATCACAGAGGAAGGCTTTCTTATCTCTCCTCTTATCTCTCTTATCTCTCTTCTTTGGAATGCTGCATTCAGATGGGTTTATCTTTCCTTTTCTCCTTTGCCTTTAGCTTCTATTCTTTTTTGTTTGTTTGTTTTTAGAGCTTCTATTCTTTTCTCAACTATTTGTAAGACTTCCTCAACCATTTTACCTTTTCACATTTCTTTTTCTTGGGGATGGTCTTGATCACTGCCTCCTGTACAATGTCATGAACCTCTGTCCACAGTTCTTCAGGCATTCTGTCTATCAGGTCTAATCCCTTGAATCTATTTGTCACTTTCAATCCCTTATAATCATAAGGGATTTGATTTAGGTCATACCTGAATGGTCTAGTGGTTTTCCATACTTTCTTCAATTTAAGTCTGAATTTGGCAATAAGGAGTTCATGATCTGAGTCACAGTCAGCTCCCTGTCTTGTTTTTGCTGACTGTATAGAGCTTCTCCATCTTTGACTGCAAAGAATATAATCAATATGATTTCGGTATTGACCATCTGGTGATGTCCATGTGTAGAATTTTCTCTTGTGTTGTTGGAAGAGGGTATTTGCTATGACCAGTGTGTTCTCTTGGCAAATCTCTGTTAGCTTTTACCCTGCTTCATTTTGTACTCCGAGGCCAAATTTGCCTGCTACTCCATGTATCTCTTGACTTCCTACTTTTGCATTCCAGTCCCCTATAATGAAAAGGACATCTTTTTTGGGTGTTAGTTCTGGAAGGTCTTGTAGGTCTTCATAAAACCATTCAACTTCAGCTTCTTCGGCATTACTGGTTGGGGCATAGACTTGGATTACTGTGATATTGAATGGTTTGCCTTGAAAACGAACAGAGATAATTGTGTTGTTTTTGAGATTGCATCCAAGTACTGCATTTTGGAGTCTTTTGTTGACTATGAGGGCTACTGCATTGCTTCTAAGGGATTCTTGCCCACAGTAGTACATATAATGGTCATCTGAGTTGAATTCACCCATTCCAGTCCATTTCAGTTCACTGAACATCACTGAGAAGTCCCTAAAGACACAACAGACTTCAGGAATATATCTACCAAACTAAGCCCCCCCTTGATTTGGGAAAGAGTCCATTTGGAGCCCTGGACAGCCAGCCACTCATTTATCAGATGTTTCTCTAGGAGACACTGATTCCCTCACCTCTTACATCCACGTCATCAAATCCTAAATATCTCTATTTTCACCCATGTCTTTCCATTTGCATTGCTACTACTGTGGTCCAAACCTTAGTATCTCTCAGCTACACTCTTACAACAACCTTCTTACTAATCTGCCTGCTTCCAAACTTACCCCCTGTACAGTGCATTTTCAATACTCAGGTGAGTATTTTATAAAATATAAGTCTGATTATGTCCCTCTCCAGTTTCAAGCCTTCCCCAGCTTTGTCTCTTGGCTCTCCGAAATCCACATTTGCTCCACTGAATATCCTTCAGTTCCTTGAATTCTTTTGGTTTCCACACCTTTGCATATATTGTTCCATCTGCTTGGAAGACTTTTCCTTTTCCATGTCATCTGACTACTCTCCATCTTTCAGACCCCAGGTTAAATGTTACTTCCAGGGACTTTCCTGGTGGTTAAGACTCTGCTCTCCTAATTCAAGGAGCACGGATTTGATCTCTGGTCAGGGAACTAAGATCTCACATGCCAGCATGGAACGGCCAAAGCACATAAATAAACAAAAATGAATAAAAGGAAAGTCATTTCATTAGGAAGCTTGCCCTGGTACATCTGGACTAGTTTAGGTACTGCCACCGCAAAGGGGTGACTCTTCTGTTTTTCTTCTCTACTCCCGTGCCGCCTCTTGACACATCTTCAGTACTTCCCTTCGGACTGACAAATGTGTGGGGATTTTTTCCCCCACAGCAGATAATTCTGCAACACTAGCTGGATGTCCTACGACTCAGCTCAGTTCTACCTGGAGTTAGACTCCAAGCCCACAGGTGAAGGGTTCAGACCCATGAGACTCTCCCTGCTCCCCTTCAGATGCCAGTCGCAAGGCCAGTGGTGGTTCTGACCAACTCCTTTAAATGGGAGGGTCCCCTGACACCCTCCTCAGCTTCCATTAATTTCTGGTTAATTTCCTCAAGAGGCCACCAAGCTCAGGAAAACAGCCAGACAGAAGAGATGCTTAGAGCAAAGTATGTGGGGAAAGGCACTCCTGTGTCCCGTCGAGGTGCCCTGCCTTTCCAACACTTCCATGTATTCACCAACCTGGAAACTCTCTGAACCCTGCCTTTTTTGTGGAGGAGTAATTGATTACATTATGGCCATTGGTGACTGTCAACCTCCATCCCTCTCCTCTCCCCAGAGCTGGTGGTGGGGTTGTCTGGGGCTGTAGTTCTAACCTGTAGTCTCACACTTTCTTCCCCTGGCAACCAGCCCCCATCTTTAGGGGCTTTCCAAAAATCACCTTATTAACATAAACTCAGGGACTTCCCTGGTGATCCAGTGGTTAAGACTTCATACTTGCAGTGCATGGGGAGTGGGTTGGATCTCTGCTATGGGAAATAAGATTCTACATGCCTCATGGTGTGGCCAAAAAACCCCCATAAACTGAGGTGTGGTTAACAGGGGGTTTGTTATCAATAGCGAAAGACACTTACCAGTCTTATTACTTAGGTCTTCACAAAGGTTTTCAGAGCTCTGTGCCTAGAACAGATGAAGGCCAAATATATATTTCCTAACGTAAGTGTCAATGACACAATCACTCTCTGTGTTTCCATGGCATCCTGTACTTTCCCATCTTCATCCCTCTTCACAACCCTGTCCACTTGGGATTGTTTTCTTGTTTATCTTCCCTACCAAAGTATAAGCTCCTTGGAAACAGGGAACATGGTTATAAGTACATATTTTTTTCTTTTTTTTGCCATGCCATGTAGCTTATTGCACCTGGCTCACCACAGTGAAAGCGTCAAATGCGAACCTTTAGGCCATCAGAGAACTCTCACCACGGTTATACTACTTCTCCTTGCATCCCCAGCCATTATCATAGCACCTGGCATAGAGTAGGTGCTTTATAAGTATTCAGATGAATGAATGAACTAACAAGTGACTACTGTGTACTACACAATGGCAAAAGAAAACTGGTGTGTTGTTGTTCAATTGATAAGTTGTGTCCGACTCTTTGTGACCCCATGGACCTTCATGGACCCCATGAAGCAGCACACCAGGCTTCCCTGTCCTTCACTATCTCCCAGAGTTTGTTCAGTCTCATGTCTGTTGAATTGATGATGCCATCCAACCATCTCATCCTCTGTCGCTTCTTTCTCTTCCTGCCCTCAGTCTTTCCCAGCATCAGGGTCTTTTCCATTGAGTCAGCTCTTTGCATCAGGTGGCCAAAGTACTGGAACTTCAATTTCAGCATCAGTCCTTCCAATGAATGTTCAAGGTTGATCTCCTTTAGGATTGACTGGTTTGATCTCCTTGCAGTCCAAGGGACTCTCCAGAGTCTTCTCCAGAACCACAGTTCAAAAACGTGTTGTTAACATGTTTTCTTAGGTTCATGTAACATGGCTGTTACTGTTTTGATCTTAGTTGTGTACCAACCACATGTGCAGGAGTCTACTTGTAAAACTTGAAGTTGTTTGGCTTCTGTTGTAGTCTTGGAAGATCTGACATCAGTAGGCCTGGATATCTGCATGGTGACAATTTTTGCACCTGAGCTACCACATATCAGTGGAGCTCTCATTCTCCAATTTCCTCCAATCCTCTGTAGGCATTTGAATTTCGACACACTGTACTAGGATTTCAAAGGTAAATGAAATCTCTTTAATCTCTCAGGAAGTTTACCGTCTAGTACAGTTACAATTCTGTTGTGACTTGTTACTACCTTTGTGACTCTGGCTAAACCACCTAAACCATCTGGGGCTCAGTGTCCCATAATAACTTGCTTCACTTGGCACTCGTAATGATCTAACAAGACAATGCCTGTGAAGGCCCTATGTGAATGGTTTACTAATTAAAATCACTAAGAAGTTAGGTGTTAATAGGCTGTGAAATTGTTTTAGCCAGAAGTCCTTTACCTAGAGGTAAAAGAAGCTCTCTTCACCGACCAAAAAAATTAAAAACCCAAGAGAGAGAGAATCCATGGGCAGGGAATTTGGCCTAGCCTCAGGAGAGAGTGGAGGCAGGACTTGGAAAGCTGTCAAAAACTGCTTATTTTCTCCCTTACTCTCAGCAGGGATATGGGGGAAATAAGTTTTCTTTTTTTCAATTTGACTGAACCAGGTCTTAGTTGCGGCATGCAAACTCTTAGCTATGGCATGTGGGATCTAGTTCCCCAACCAGGGATCGAACCCAAGCCTTCTGCATTGGGAGCTCAGAGTGCCAGTCACTGGACACCAGAGGAGTCTCTGGGGGGATCTGCTCCTTTATGTAGATGTTTTATTCTTCTCTTCCCCACACTGTGGCTTTCTCTGCTTATCCACATGTGGTAGAAAATGGGTACCCAAACCCAGAAATCTATTTGAATTCCATATTCTTGAGGGAGAGGCTCTGATGCGGTCATTTTGGGTCCAATGACTACCTTTGACCCTATCAGCTAAAGCTAGAAAGTCAAGGTGTAGTACAATCAAGTCTCCTGGGATCTATTCCTGGGACAGGGAGATGGGGCAGGTCCCATAAAAGAGGGTTTATGGACAGGCCGACAGCCCCCAAAATGTCTGATGTAAAATGTTCTGGAGGTTGACCACATTCCCTTTAAGTGATCTGCTGGTTGTTCGCTTATACTTTTAACCCCTTTTTCATTTTTCACCCTCCCCCAAGTTTGTCAGCCACTATAAACCACTGGCAGCCCCAATCTAGGAACTGGGTGAAATATTTTCCAGGAACCCACCAGTGGGATTTAGCCACCTCCAAGAGCCTCCTGCCCCGGTACGAGCACGCCAGCTTCATTCCCTCCTGCACACCTCACAGCATCTGGGTGTTTGGAGGGGCCGACCAGTCAGGAAATCGAAACTGCCTGCAAGTTCTGAATCCTGGTAAGTAACTGATGGTTATTTTATTTACCAAAATGAATAAGTAAATCCAATTTCAATTCCTGTACCAAAGTCCCATTTGGATTTTACTGACCAATCCATTTAACCTTTGCTGACCTCATAGAAAAATAACCATTGTCACTTCTAACAGAATCTGAAAATCATACATGATATTTTGTTTTCCTCCTAAGTGGCACAGATTATCAACTTCTGAAAATCAAAGCTGAAAGAGACTTCAGAGAACAGTTATGTCAAGTGGGCAACCTGGTCTAGCAATGGAGAGTGACTTTCCTAAAGTCATCAGGGAATCAGACCCTTGAATCCAAGTCACCTCTGTCAGAGGTCTCAAATGGGGGTGATTGTGCCCTCCAGGGGACAGTTGGCATGTGACACCTTGAGGCAGGGCATCTGATGGGTGGAGGCCAGAGATGGTACCATACATCCTGTAATGCAGTGTTCCCCAACCTTTTTGGCACCAGGGACTAGTTTCATGGAAGACAAATTTTCCATGGACAGGGGTGGGAGCAGGGTGGGGTTATGGTCTGGGGATGATTCAAACTCTACATTTTTTGTCACTTTATTTCTATTATTATTACATCAGCTCCACCTTAGATCATCAGGCATTGGAGGTTGAGGACCCTGCTATAAAGCATAGGGCAGCCTCTCACAATAAAGAATTATCTGGTCTAAAATGTCAATAGTACCAAAGTTAAGAAACCTTGATTGAGATCCTCTTAGTATGTTTCTTTTAGACAAAAAGTACAAAGTTCCTGGCTCGTCTCACTGGCAGTTTTGTCACAGAGGAAGCATTTTGGGGACGTCACTGCTGCAAGGATGTTGCTGAACCACCCGTGGGGATGGAGCTGACTTTCTGTCAGTTAGAAACAATTTTTTGTTGTTTTTCTCTTTATAAATTTTTCAATATGCATTGAAAAATATTTTAAAAGTGTAAATAAGTAGACAAAAGCCATCCACAATCCTATGATATTAAGGCTATTAATAACAGTTCTGTGTACTTCCTTTCTGTCTTTTCTCTGCAATTTTGTAAACCTGAGATCTTTGTATTTCACCATTACACTATTGGGTCTTTTTAATTTCATAATTAGCACAGAAATGATTCCCTATCAACAAAGCTTTGCTAAAATCATTTTTAATGACTGCATAGCACTCAATTTTATGATAATACCATAATTCCTCTGTGTTTTTTTTTTAACATGTAGGTTGTCTTCAGATTTTTATCATTATAAATAACAAAGTAGTGAATATCTTTGTTCAGAAGTCATTGAATGTATTTCAAATTATTGCCTTAGAATTCATGCCCATAAATAAAAGAACTAGATAAAACCCTGGACTTTAAGCTTTTTTTTTTTTTACTTCAAAGCTTTTAGTACATGGTATCAGATTGTTCTCCAGGAAGACTTTTTTTAATTTTCTTTTTTGGCCACATTGCACAGTTTGTGCAATCTCACTTTCCTGACCCAGGATTGAACCTGGGCCCAAGAATGAAAGCCCAGAATCCTAACCACTAGGCCACCAGGAAACTCCATCTCCAGAAAGATTTTTTTCAACTTATCCTTTTTCCAATTGTGTTTAATAGTTCTTGTTTCACTCCTGACTGGCACTGAATTTATCATTTTTAAGCACTGCTAATTTGATGGGCAAAAGTAAAAAAAAAAACAAACGATTGTATCTAATTGTTTAAATATGCAGTTTGTTCATCACTAGTAACCTGGACATTTTTCATGTAACAATCAGTTCTTGCCTGGTTACCTCTATAAATGAGAGGTTTACTTATATAACAGTTGGTCTTCTTTGTCATTCTGGGACAATAATAATTTCTATCTTGTTAGGTTTGACAAGAATTAACTCACGTCTGGCTCATAGTTAACATTCAGTAATTATTGTGGTTGATGTAGCTGTGGTTTGACAGATGGAAATCAGTTCCAGAACCCTGACCTCTCAATTTTTCAGTGATGGCATCTATTTTAAATAAAATACAGTGAGAATTTGGAAAGCTTCTGTCAAAGAAATTGACTTTTCACCAGATCCTTTCCTTTCCTAAAAAGTATAGTTTGACCATGACCAAGAAATATGAATGATGTAAGTGAATCATTAATTTCTTGTGTTACGAAGGCAAGTTCCTCAGTCTTAGGACTCCTTTCTGATTATTTGTGCTAGCATTTGACTTGGCAGCCACACAATCTCAACTTTATGACAGTTCCATAATTCCTCTGTTTTGTTCTGTTTTTTTTTTTACTCTGAAGGTTGTGTGCTTTCTAACTCCCCCTAAGATTAAAAGCTCCCCAAGATCTGTAGTTATAGAGGCAATTACATTATGCTATGTTATTTTAGTTTTTTGTTTTTGTTGTTTGCTTTTTTTGGCTATGAAGTTTATGGGATATTAGTTCACTAACCGGGGATCGAACCCAAGACACCTGCAGTGGGAGCCAGGCGTCTTAACCACTGGACTGTATGGGAAGTCCCCATTATGCTCTGGATATAGGCTGAGACTTATTTGGTCTCCGGGTTCATGTTTTGAGTCCCACACATACTACAAATGCTTCATGTACCACTTTGTATATTGAATGAAGACCTTTACACAAGACACAGAATTTCCTAGTCAAGAAATAATTCCTGGGAATTCCCTGATGGTCCAGTGGTTAAGACTTGGAGTTTTCACTGCTGTGGGCTTGGGTTTAACCCCTGGTCAGAAAACTAAAATCCCACAGGCCATGCAGCATAGCAGAAAGGAAGGAAGGAAGAAAGAAAGAAGTAGTGGAATAATATGGGAGTTTTGATACATCTGTGTTCAGATCCCTGCCCTACTGCTCACCAACACTGCGACCTGGGGGAAAGGGTTTAAACTTTCTGAGCTTCAGTTCCCTCATCTACTAAGTGGGGATACTTTCCACCTGCTCCCAGGATTGCCTGAGGATAAGGAGATGGTGGGGTGCTCAGGGCAATGATTCTGCCCACGGAAGGTGCTTGGTTACTGCTTGTGTTTCTGTAAAATGTGTGCTTCCTTTTGAAAAAAAAAAATGAGCTTCTGTTCACCTGCCCAGGTGGCAGAACTTCATTCTCAAGTCAGAAGAGTGGAATATACATAGATCTTGACGTTGAAATGGAATTTGAATCCCAACTCAGCCATTTACTGGTCATGTCACCTTAAATGAGTGACTTAATCTGTCTCTGCTTCAATTCCTTGTCTGTAAAATGCGGGAAGAAATATTTATTTGGCACATAGTGTTCAGTAGGGACAATTACTACTACTGCTACTACTGCTAAGACTGTGATGATATTGTCCACTTTTTTTAATGGCCACATATCCTGAGAAACTTGGCACATTTGGTTTCTTGCATCCAGTGGGAATGAGTTTATTCAATGTTGGGCTCCTCTGGGTGGGCACAGCGCAGGATAGTCAACAAAGGGGAATAGGGTGCAGAAAGGATGTTTAAGGCCTCCCAAAACAAATTATTCTCCTTAATTGCACCTGTGGCTTTTCATTCGTGGGAATTTGGGTCTATCTGAACACATTCTGAGTATTGCCCCTTAACCCCTCCTTGAATTTGATGACAGGAGATCTCTGCCTAGACCTACCCTGTCCCTCTTGGGGATTGGGGTTTGCCAAGTGACCCTGCCTAGCCCCAGAGTCAATGTCCGAGGCCCTCAGCCTGGGGATTTAGATGCCTACCTTCTCTCCGGACCAGATACCAGGACTTGGACCACCCCAGAGGTGACCGGCCCACTGCCATCCCCGAGAACATTCCACACATCATCGGCAGCCATTGGAGACCAGCTGTATGTCTTCGGGGGTGGAGAGAGAGGTGCCCAGCCTGTGCAGGATGTGAAGCTTCATGTGTTTGATGCAAGTATGGATGGGGTGGGAGATCCCTGGGGCCACCACTTACCTGGTCGGGGCTGCCCTGGCCTGCAGCTTACCTGATGCAGGAAACAGATTAGAAAATGACAACCTGGCTGTGGGTCTCAATTCTAGACTTCTTCAGTGTATCTCTTAGCTGATATCTTCTACCCATAGTAAAAATTGCATTTAAAGAAGAATAATGGATCAATTATAAAAATGTAGACAGTATAGTTTATCAAGCAAAAAAGAAAAAAGTTTCCCCTTAGGCCTTTCCTTCCTACTGCCCAGACAGAGGTAAATACTGTTAGCTATTCCTAATAGTCTAACTTCCGGATTTTTCTGTGCATTTATAAATCATATGCACATGTATATGTGAACACCTATGAAGTTTCTATGGACTTTGAAGTTATATGAAAACTTAAAACACACACATGAAAATACTAATTATAAATACTGTTCTGCCTCTTAGTTTTGTGGGTCTAAGGGTAGATCTTGGGGGCTTCCCTGATAGCTCAGTGCTAAAGAATCCACCTGCAATGCAGGAGACTTGGGTTCAGTCCCTAGGTTGGGAAGATCCCCTAGAGGAGGAAATGGCAGTCCACGCGAGTATTCTTGCCTAGAGAATCCCATGGACAGAGGAGCCTGGAGGGCTATAGTCCATAGGGTTGCAAAGAGTCAAACACAACTGAGCGACTGAACACGCATGTATGCAAAGGTAAATCTTAGTTGAAAACATAAACTTTGAAACCCCAGGAAGTGGACTTGGAACCAGATCTGACGTCTACCTTCTGTATCACTTTAGACTAATTTCTTAATCTCTCTAGGCCTTAGTTTGCTGTAAAATGGAGATAGTAATAGTGCCTAACACAAAGAATTGGAAAGATTAAATGAGAATACAGTTATAGCAGTTCTGACACAGGAAACACCTAATGAATTTTCACTGTATTATTATTATTCCTTCATTTAATCACACATCATGGATCTCTCCTAAGCCAACAATTTTCCTGCAAAGCATATCTTTCTGTGGGCATCCATTATTCATTCAGTCATTTTCCTATAGATTCACTTTTTTTTCCCTATAGATTGACAGTGTTACAGTGAATATATACATTAATTTATGTACATGTTACAACATTTGGGCCTTCCCAGGTGGGCTAATGGTAGAGAACACACCTGCAAATGCAGGAGATACAAGAGATGCAGGTTGATCCTTGGGTCAGGAGAATCCCCTAAAGGAGGGCATGGTAATCCACTCCAGTATTCACACCTGTAGAATCCCATGGACAGAGGAGCCTGGCGGGCTACTGTCCATAGGGTCGCAAAGAGTCAGATATGACTGAAGTGACTTAGCACAGCACACACAACATTTAATGTGGAATAGATGCTGGGGAGTAGAATCACTAGGTCAAAATGGTATGAATATTTAATATTGTGAGACCTCTTGCCAATCTTTTGTCTAAGTGGCGTTTATTTACATTTCCTTCTTTTAGTAGTGGGCATTTAGGAATAATGCTTTACAAATATCATGTGACAAAAATAATTTTCCTGTGTGTTTTTGCACCTTTTTTGAGAAAAGGCAATAAGCAAAACTGAAAACTTATAAGTTTAAATTAAAAATTAAGACATGTCATGATATGAATTTTTGCAGAAAAAATGGACTCTGATTCTTTTAAAGCAGTTTTAAAAAATATTGGCTTTGAATACATAAAACTGTAAGAGAAAAAATATATGTACATATATATGTGCCTATATGTGTGTGTGTGTGTATGTATAATTTTATAACCTCCAAATTGTTAACATTTCAGTGCAATTATGGTCCTTTTTTTTAATAGAAGAGATAATTCTAGATGTGCTATTTGTGTCTTGTATTTTTCACTTAAGCATTTCCCCTGTAATCACAAAGTTTTCTCATTGATTTTAATGAGCACGTAATATTCTATTATGACTGTAGCAATAACTCACTCACCTGTTAATGGACTTAGGGGCTATTTCCAGTTCTCCCTTATTATCAATATAAACAATACTGTGGTAAACATACTTACCACTTATGTATGCATATGCATCAACTTTCTCAGGTTATTTCAAATTGTATTCCTTGGAACACTGAGGGCTCTGTGAACAACCTTCAGGCCTGTCGCAAGTGGTAATTCAGAGAGAAGTTGTTTGGCAGGCTTTTTTCTAAGAAAATTTTTGTAGCACTCCATTAAGACTTTTCCGGTATGTTGAAATGATTGATTTTCAATTCTATACATGTACAATTTTGAAGAAATGAAGGGTTATCAACAGGTAGAACACATCTGCTATGTTAGGATAACACTCATAACTCTCATGTACAGAGTACTTTATTTATGCCTGTGCTTTACATATATCGTCTCATTTAATCTGCACTTCAACCCTGCTGCTGCTGCTGAGAGGTAGGTATTACCGGGTACTCCCTTTCTCTTCATTTTATAGCTGCAGAAACTAAAGCTTAGAAAATTAACACATGCAAGGCTACATAATTATTCAGTGAAATAACCCAGTTTTAACTCCAAATCCTATATTCTAATCATTATCCTATACAACCACTTCAAGAGGCCCTGCTAACTTTAAAAGTGGTCAATTTTTTTCCCCCACCCTTCTAGCAAATCAATTAAAAATATTGTTGTGAAAAATAGAATACTCTGAAGGCCTGTCCCAGTAGAAGGAAGCTCATTCTTTTTAATTTTGGGGCAGTTCTAGGTTAAAGAAACTTAAGGAGGTATTTTTTAAATTCAAAACACAAAGTGGTTCCTTAATGCCCAGTGGAAGGGGTAGGCATATTAGGTAGTGAATTCTCCAGTCCTGGACACACACCAGCAGAGGCTGTAAGGGTTGTGGATGGAGGGAGGCCTGGGTTGGGCTGGCGAGTCACAGTGAATGACCCCCAGGCCTCTCTTTGTTCAGTGCATTTCCGCTTGCTGGGAGGTGAGGCTTAGGTATAGTCCTCACTTTCTTGCTTCATACCTTTGTCACCTGATGTCATGGGATTTATTTTTCCAGGCACCCTGACCTGGTCACAACCAGAGACACGTGGAAAACCTCCATCCCCCCGACATGGTCATGTGATGGTGGCAGCAGGGACAAAGCTCTTCATCCATGGAGGCTTGGCAGGGGACCATTTCTATGATGATCTCCATTGCATTGATATCAGTAAGTAGGGTAGAGGGCATGGGGGCTTGCTTGTCTGCTTAAAATTAAATAAAATATACTTTGACTAGAACCTTGCTCTCAACCAGCCAGTAGAATCTTCGCTGCTGCTGCTGCTAAGTTGCTTCATTCTGTCTGACTCTGTCTGACCCCATAGATGGCAGCCCACCAGGTTCTGCCATCTCTGGGATTCTCCAGGCAAGAAGACTGGAGTGGGTTGCCATTTCCTTCTCCAATGCATGAAAGTGAAAAGTGAAAGTGAAGTCGCTCAGTCGTGTCCGACACTTAGCGACCCCATGGACTGCAGCCCACCAGGCTCCTCTGCCCATGGGATTTTCCAGGGGAGAGTACTGGAGTGGGGTGTCATTGCCTTCTCTGAGAATCTTCACTAGATTCTTTCAGATGTGACCTGAATAATAAGTGATAATAATAAAAGCAAGTATTTCCTAAGTGTTTGCCATGTATTGGGTTGACCAGAAAGTCCATCTAAGTTTTTCTGTAAGATCTTACAAAAAATCCATTATGAACTTTCTGGCTGACCCAAGACCTACTCATTAATTCTTTCTTATCCTTTCAACAACCCTGCTCTTTCATTAAAATTCATTGTGTCTTGTGCTTCCCGAAGGACTGGATTTCTTTCAAGTTGTAGCCTTTAATTCTGTGGATAACTTTTAGAGTGTGTCTGGAGGTAGACAACAAGAACTGTCATGCTAAATTGTTAAAAAAATGCTGAGAAAAGGAAAGTTAGGGATAAATATGAGTATTGTCTTTAAGCGTTTGAATGACACCCCAAAAGTCCCGAGAGCCTGGACTATTTTGGGGTCATTCTTCCAGATTCTGAGGTCCCTTAATGCAGGGACTTTATCTCTTTTTTCCTTAGTGTATTTCCATCATTGAGTACAGTGTCTGGCAGGTCGCAGTGGACAGATAGGGACTCCCCTGGTGGTCCAGTGGTTAAGACTTCACGCTTCCACTGCAGGGGTCATAGGTATGACCCCTTGCTGGAGAACTAAGATCCTGCCTGCCACACAGTGCAACCAAAAAAAAAAAAAAGAGTCAACAGAAAAACAAATGAACATATTCTGCGTTGCTCCAGACTACAGGAATTGGAACCATGGGCAGAAGGCATGAGAACTGCTGTGCAAGTATCAGGCTACCTTGCCAAACGGTGGGTTCTCTGATTTGGTGACATTGGAGACTGGCTGACACTGGCTGGGATTCCCACATTGGCAAGCATATTTGGCTGGACTCGGTGATTCTCCCTTCCAACTCAGTTGCTGGACCCCTGCCTTGAACTGACAGATGGAAAATATCTTCACAGGAGCATTCCTTGCAGGCAGGCAAACAGGGTTTTAATGCTTATTTTAAAAAAAAGAAAGTCCTTTTCTCTTGTAGGAGGAACTATTTCCTAGTTATTTTTCCTCTTTTCCTACCCAGGTTGTTCTCTAAAACCCAAAATCCGGTGAGGTCCTGCCTCCTTTGCTTGTCTGAAAAGTTGCAACTATCTGCAGAAATAGGTAGGAAATAGGTGCTGAGGCAGCATATTACAGTGTAGAGAACACAGATCTGGGAGTCAGACCTGAGTGCAGCTCTAGCTGTGGTACTTCTTCCCGTCTCTAATCCTGTTTTTTCTTCTGCAAGAAGTAGGCAGAACTGAGCAGTAGCAAATTTCATGCAGCTATCATGAGAATAAAGTAAGCCAGATTTTTGAAGCCTCTAGTCAGCACTCACAAAGTTGCAAAGTAGCTGTTACTGTTTCAGAATGCATGTGTGTGCACATACAGGCATGCTTCCGCAAGACGCGCGCGCGCGCACACACACACACACACACACACACACAACCTTACCTGCTCCTGGGTTCCTAAGGAGTTAATGGTGATGGTCACCAAAGCTTAGATCACATTCCTCAGTGTGCTCCGAAGACCACCTACATCAGAATCACCTGGGATGCTTGTTACAACTATAGATGACTGAGCCCCCTCCCTCCCTCTCTGGACGACCCAGACAGAATTTCAAGCTCCCCCAAGTGATTTTTGGGCACACCAAACCTTGCTTTATTATCTCAAGAACTCTCTTTAGTGAGTGAAGTTCAGGGGTTGGTTTGCAAGCTGCAGACGTCTGACAGGTTCAGTCTGAAACCACTGTCTAGGTTTTGCCCAGTTTCCATCTCTTGGCAGGTGACATGAAGTGGCAGAAGCTAACGCCCACCGGGGCAGCTCCCACAGGCTGCGCCGCTCACTCAGCTGTGGCCGTGGGGAAACACATGTATGTCTTCGGAGGAATGACTCCCACAGGAGCCCTGAATACGATGTACCAGTATCACATAGGTGAGCAGATGTTCATTGTGGGTCTTTAAGCAAGTATCACCCTTCTTTGAAAACTATCACAACGCTTTGGTCTTTCAATTTGGCCACTCCACATCTAAGGCTGAAGGAATAAAAACCAGACTTTCAGGGAATGACATCATCAAAGCAGTAAGAGTACCATTAGGGTTCCCCCGCTCCACTTTTCTTGTTTCTTTTGGGCTCAGGTGATAAAGCACATCACTGAATATTTTTGGAAATTTTTTAACAGACTTTTTTCCCCCAAAAATAGAAAAGCAGCATTGGACCTTGCTTAAATTTGAAAATTCTCCTCCCGCTGGAAGGTTGGACCATTCCATGTGTATCATTCCGTGGCCAGGGACGTGTACTTCTGAGAAAGAAGATTCAAATTCAGCCACTCTAAACTGTGATGCTGAGAAAGGTGATTCCACTGAGAAAGGAGTGACTCAAGGTGGTGACTCACATGAAGAAAGTCAGGCTGACACACTGCTCTGTTTTGTGTTCGGCGGAATGAATACAGAAGGGGAAATCTATGATGATTGTATTGTGACTGCAGTTGATTAATAAAACCCATGTTTTTACCACTTTAAAATGTCAATTACTTTCAGAGAAGTTAAGTACAACATTGTTTTCATACCTCAAAAACTGCCTGCACTATGTATGTATCCCTTTGGCTCTTACCTACTGCAGTAGGTGAAGAGATGAACTGGATAGCCCAGGGCAAAAACCTCTGATAAAAGGGTTTTTTTATCAGCAATACAACCAGGTAACTAACTGGCTGGTTATTAATACTAATCACAAAAATGTTGCAGATATCCTAATTGCAAGATACAACAAAAGTTGTAGAAATCAGTGAGTGGACATTCCCAAGCTTAAGTGTTTTAACATTTGACTGCACCGGGTCTTAGTTGGAGCACGTGAGATCTAGTTCCCTGATCAGGAATGGAACCCATGCTTCCTTCATCTGAAGCATGGAGTCTTAGTCAGCGATCACCAGCAGAAGTCCAGGGAAGTGTTTTCAATTATTAGCAGGTCCTCAGAAAGAGGTGTACTGTTGACTTGGTACTGAGAGCCACTGCAGACAGGGGCAAAGATTGGCCCTTGTCTCTCCCTACCAACCCCTACCCCTCTGCACACAATACTTCAGGTATTTTTTAATGTTTGTATGGAACCTGGTCTGTAAGACCCCCTGTCCAAATGCTTTGGGCAACACAACAGAGGTCCAGGCCTCAGAGTAAATCACACATCAGTTCTCAGTTCCACAAATTAACCTTGCAGCTGGTTGCCCCATGTGTAAAATGTCTATGTTTGGACTGAACTGGATCATGTTAGCATGACAGCCTGCCCTTTGTTGATCATACTTACTAAATTGTTGTAGGGCTTAAGGTAGATCACACCACCCTAGATCCCTCTCTTGTACCAGAGATAAAGACTGACATGGCTAAGATTCAAAAATATTACCTTCACATCCTAAAATCAGGAATTGAATCCAAGTGTGTAAAATTATCAGTGATTCATCACTTATCAAATCTCAAGAGAATCCAAGCAGTTGTAAAGTGTTATGAGTAAATAGAAGGCCACCATTAAGTTTTTGAAAGGTAAGGGGAAGCAGGAAGTTTCAATTATGCTCAAGAAAACTCTGCTCTTGAAATGGTCCTTGCCTAGTTAAACATATGGATGTACCAACCTCGCACCCCTTTTCTTAGATTAGGCAGGTTTCCCAAAATGACTGAATATTTAAAGAAATGTTGTTTCCTTACCTCAAAACCCTGAACACTCCCAACACATGAGTTTAACCTTAAAATAAATGACTAACCTAATTAGAAGCTTTATCACAAAAATTAGACCAGTGTAAATAACAAACATTTATTGGTGTCACTTATGGTAGAAAAAAGTTCCTACACCAGTTACACATGACCCAATTGTTAAATAGAACATTTTCAAGGTGAACAAACTCCCTAACCCAGCTTTTTTTTTTTTTTAACCCACTTTTGATGATAGCCAATTCCTCCTTGCCCCCCACCCCAAGACATGTGAGCAACTGCTAATGAAAAGCAGTAAACAGCCACTTGGGCTATAGCATTTTCAACTCCACTCCAAGGTGAAGATTCCAATTACATTCGAGACTTAAGTTCTCTCAATTTTCTCCTAACGAAAGTTCCTGAGTCCAGTATTTACAATATTACAGCACTAGCAGAGCAGTGTCTACAACTCATCTTTTTCTCCTGCTTCCTCCTCATTGGTTGGGGGAGGGCCTGCACTTCCATAGAGTTTGCTGATAATTGGCTGAACAATTTCTTCTAGCTCCTTCTTTTTAGCTTTGAAATCTTCAATGTCAGCATCTTGGTGACTTTCCAGCCACTCAATCTTTTCTTCTACAGCTTTTTCCATGGTCTCCTTATCTTCTGAGGAAAGTTTACCTCCCAGTTTTTCTTTATCTCCAATCTGATTCTTAAGAGAGTAGGCATAGCTTTCCAATTCATTTCTTGTGTCAATGCGCTCCTTGAGCTTTTTGTCTTCCTCAGCAAATTTCTCAGCATCATTGACCATTCTTTCAATTTCTTCAGGTGTCAGGCGATTTTGGTCATTGGTAATTGTGATCTTATTTTTGTTGCCTGTACCTTTGTCTTCAGCTGTCACTCGAAGAATGCCATTCACATCTATCTCAAAGGTGACTTCAATCTGTGGGACACCACGGGGTGCAGGAGGAATTCCAGTCAGATCAAAAGTTCCCAGAAGGTGATTGTCTTTCGTCAGGGGTCGTTCACCTAGAAGTCACACACACACAAATTGTTAGTTGTTACTGACAAACATTAGTACATCTGGATCTCTACACTTAAGTCTGTAACAGCCTGCAGTGGCAAGGGCACTCTATCAACTTAAAATGCCAGCTCAGAAGGCATTTTTAATGGGAAACACTGCCAGACAACAGATTTTAGTCCTGGCTCTACCAAACTCAACACTAAATGAGGGCCTCCTCACCTGAAACAGCAGGTGCTTCTTTCCTTAGTCATTTCAACAGTGTACATTAAAAAAAAAGTCAAACTCTTCAAACACACATCATGGTATTAACAAATGTAAGCAATTACCTTCATAGACCTTGATGGTAACAGTTGGTTGATTATCAGAGGCTGTAGAAAAGATCTGAGACTTCTTGGTGGGCACCACAGTGTTCCGTGGAATCAGTTTGGTCATGACACCTCCCACAGTTTCAATACCAAGTGTCAAGGGACATACATCAAGCAGTACCAGATCACCTGCAAAAGTAAGTTAATTGAGGTAAGTTCCAATTCAGGAGTCATAGGAGCAATACCAAGCAGTCCCCACGATCAATAAAACTTCATCTTCTCCATCTTGCCACTTGGTTAGGTTCTACGCAAAATCATTTCAGAAGCAGAGAATTAAATACAGCTGCTAAGGATCTTGAGACTTCCCGGTCTTGTCATCACTGTACCCTTTAACTAGCTCTGTGAGCTTGCTGCTTGTATTCTATTGCTTTCTAAAGCAACAGCTAACACTCTTCCCATTAAGCTACTGAAGCACTGTGGACAATGCTGACAGACTGACCTGTATCTTGATCACCAGAGAGCACACCAGCCTGGACAGCGGCCCCATATGCCACAGCCTCATCTGGGTTTATGCCTCGGGATGGCTCCTTGCCATTGAAAAACTCTTTAACCAGCTGTTGAATCTTTGGGATCCTAGTAGAGCCACCAACAAGAACAATTTCATCAATATCAGACTTCTTTAAATCAGAATCTTCCAACACTTTCTGGACAGGCTTCATGGTGGAACGGAACAGGTCCTAGAGTAAGAGACACAAGCACTGTGATGATACCTGTCATACCCACAAATAGTCAAAATCCCTAAATGCGCTGTCCCAAACTCAGAGTCTAACTAGATCTCATTAGCAAAACAAGGAACATACCATGTTTAGCTCTTCAAATTTGGCCCGAGTCAGGGTCTCCGAGAAGTCTTCTCCTTCATAGAAGGACTCAATTTCAATTCTGGCTTGATGTTGGGAAGACAGGGCCCGTTTGGCCTTTTCTACCTCACGCCGGAGTTTCTGCACAGCTCGGTTATCTTTCCGAACATCTTTGCCAGTCTTCTTTTTGTAAAGCTTGATGAAGTGTTCCATGACACGCTGGTCAAAGTCTTCTCCACCCAGGTGAGTATCTCCATTAGTGGCCACGACTTCAAAGACACCATTATCAATGGTGAGAAGAGACACATCAAAGGTTCCACCACCCAGGTCAAACACCAGGATGTTCTTCTCCCCTTCCCTCTTATCCAGGCCATAAGCAATAGCAGCTGCTGTACTGTTAAGAGGAATGAGAAAGAAAAACAAACCTTACTTAACTTTTCCCTTTCCACATTTGGCAAATGTGCCATACTTTTGAATTTAACACTTACGGCTCATTGATGATCCTCATGACATTCAATCCAGCAATAGTTCCAGCATCTTTGGTTGCCTGGCGTTGGGCATCATTGAAATATGCTGGTACAGTAACAACTGCATGAGTAACCTAAAATGATAACAAAAGGTACGTTAGACATTTTATCATACAGTTTAACCTTTATTTAAGTTACAAACTATCACTTTATTTTTAAGATACATAATTATATGTGTGTGGACTTGCAAGCAGTGATAAATGAAAAGACTCTAGTATTTTGTTTAATCTCCAGTAAAACATGCAAGTAATTAAAACTGATGTACACGGATGTCAGACTTTTAAAATGATGAAAGCATCTACACAACACAATCAGAAATGGTAATAATAATACTGCTCAACACTGTTCTGGAAAATACCTACCTTCTTTCCCAAATAAGCCTCAGCAGTTTCCTTCATTTTAGTGAGAACCATGGCAGAAATTTCTTCAGGAGCAAATGTCTTTGTTTGTCCACCTCCAACATCAACTTGAATGTATGGTTTAGTTTTCTTTTCAACCACCTATTTGAGAGAATAATTATTTTTTTCAGACATAGAAGCAATGACATTTTAAACCTTAAAAGAAAGAGGACTGTCTGAGACTCACTTCCTTCTCCAAAGTTGGGTTTACTTTGGACCCTTTGAGCTGAATATTTGGGGCAGAAATATTTAAGGTGTCGAAGGTGCCTTACAATTACAAGTCACTTCAGTTTTAATCAGTCTCTTAATCCTAAACTACTGTCGACAGAATAGTTACGCATGAAATTCCTTGCCAACTTTACTATCTTCAGTTCTGAAATATACTAGGAGTATAAAATAAAATTATATACACACATCTAGATCCTCTTTGCTTGTGCCTAAACTTTTTAATCCTAAATACTCCCATCACCACCACCCACTATCTATTCAGAAGAGAAAAACCGGCTCGAACCTTGAAAGGCAAGAACTTGATGTCCTGCTGCACGGAAGGATCGTTCCATGTCCGGCCAATGAGTCGCTTGGCGTCGAAGACTGTGTTCTCAGGATTGGAGGTGAGCTGGTTCTTGGCTGCATCGCCGATCAGACGCTCCCCTTCAGGAGTAAAGGCTACATAAGACGGCGTGATGCGGTTGCCTTGATCGTTGGCGATGATCTCCACGCGGCCGTTCTTGAACACCCCGACGCTGGCGGAAAAAACCGAACGGAAGGAATCAGCACCACGATGCTCCGGGCAGCCCAGGAGGCCACGCCCCATTTCCCCCTCTCCTCAAACCCCACTTACCAGGAGTAAGTGGTGCCCAGGTCGATGCCGACCACCGTGCCCACGTCCTCCTTCTTGTCCTCCTCC